GCACGGAGGCAGACTGAATTCAGAGCGCGGGCTGAATGCCACTGGGAGAACGGGGACGGAGAAGGGGGGCCGGGGGGGGGAGGAGGAAGAAAAGCAATTAAGGGAAAAAAAAAAAAGAATTTTAAATTATTAACTTTTTTTAAATTATTAATGTTATTGGTGCCTCCATGTGAGCCCACAGATAAACTGCGCTTTGTACTGGCACTAATAATTTATAGCTCAGCCAGAGCCCTGTGGTGGGGAGACAATCCAAAATACACTGAGTTTTGTCTTGTCAACGTTACACGAGAGAGCCTGTCTGTGCAGGCTCCTTTTCTCCCTCTGCCCACCCCAAAACCTCAGCGTGACCCCTCCCCCAGCAAATGCCGAGGAGACAACTTAATCATAATCATAAAAAATACGTCAGGCTTTTAATGTAATGAGCTACTTTACTCATTACATGGGGGGAGAAGGGGGCGATACCAGCTGCTATGCAGCACGCGCTCTGCCTGGATGCACGTGTTCTGCCTGTCCACCGGCCACCCGGCGCTAAGCGGTATACACAGCTGTACATCCCTATACAGGTACATAAAACACGTTTTGTGCAGAGTACGTGCTTCTGTTGTATTCAACACGGTCTACATAGACCGGCGTCTGTGGATATTCAGCATTTGCATTCTGGTACATCACCCTTTTGTGCACGATGCATGTTATATACTGTCCTTTTGCGTACCGCACTTGTGTTCACCGTGTGTACGCGTGGAAGCTCCAGCCCTACGGTGCATGACGTTGCCCCATACCTAGGTGCTGTACTTGCAGGAGCTCTGCACCTCTTCGTAAACGCGTGGCACAGCTGAACACCATTTACAAAGGCTTGTGCCACGTTCACTACAGCGTGTGTCAGCACACGCTTATGCCATACCGTTGCTGATGAGCAAATCCTTACTCTAGAGCAAAAGGGATCGCCTTCCTACCGCCAGAGACGCCAATCACATCAGAGTGGAAGAGAAGACAGCCTCTTCGTTAACCTAACAAGAAGCCCTGGGGATTCACACTGGCCTGGAGATTCTCCTCCAGTTCCTGCTGGATGCTTTGCTGATGCTGCTTGCGCTCCCTCTCTGGCTCAGCCAGGCAGGTACACGCCAGCCCTCCAGGGCCTCGGGCAGGAAGCAGCACAGAGGGTACAAACTCTTGCACTGCACTAGTTTTCAGTGGTGCTTCAACCCTCTGCCTCCACGACTGGAACAGCGTCAGCTCTTCTATCACCCCTGCTCAGCCTGATTCAGACAGCTCCGTCACTTAGCCAACCCCTCTGTAACTTCTCCTGCATCACAGGGCTCAGGTGCAACGCATAGTTTTACTCTGGCCAGAGCCGAGCCTGGGCCAGCACGCTTTGCTCGTCTGAGGGAAGACTGGGTGTCCACACAGGCTGAGGACTGTCAAGCACGTGCAGCGTTGCAAGTGGCTCCAGCGCTCTGTAGAGCAGCTCCCAAGGTGGCTCCCGTAACTGCCTAGTGCCCTCTTTAGGCACTGCATGGGATCCTGCAGCCAAGCTGGTTTCAGCCGTGCTGCCTCCGCGACTGAGGGCAAAACCTATTAGCAATTCTCCAGTTCATGCAGGAACCAGTAGATCCTGGTACTGCAGGAGACCTCTCCCCTCAGGACACCACTCAAGCCCCAGGACAAGGCAGCAGCATGGGACAAAAGCACCTGTTAACGTGGAGGCTGTTTTAGGACTAGGGTTTGGGTTTTCCCCTCTTTGCATTAACATAACTGTACAAACGCCAGCCCCTTTTAAGAAGCAAAACGGTGGCACGTTCTCTTGAGCATAGATACCAGCGCAGAAATACTCCTGTGCTGCTAAAGCCTAGAAACAGCAGACAGGCAGGTATGGCACAGCTACGAAAGCAGAACATGCAGCGTACACAACAGGCCCCAGTTAAAGGGGGACCAGGGACTCCCTCAGCTATCCACAGCGCCCAGCTGAGCATCAGAGAACTGCACCACCCTGAGGAGGTCTGGGGACAACGTGTTATTGCTTGAAGCTGCTACCCACAGGATCCTTATGGCAATGCCTTGATAAAGCCCTCATCACGTGAACGTATACTGGGTATAGAAGAGGTTCTCTCCTTTTCAGTAAGGCCTCCCTCACTTTTCCACAGCAGATCTGGTTTCAGCTAGTGAAGGACAAGATTAATCCTTGGTGAAGTAAATACAGTTCCTTTCGGCAGATGACACCTGATACCATGGATGATCCTGTCCCACTGACTTCAGCATTTGTCTGCTGAGCTGTCTTCACAGCATCTTCGCTTCACCTGCATATTTCAGTTGTTCCCAAAAACATAGGGCATTTAATTCTTATGAAGGTGAACGGTCAGTAACATCAGCTCACGCCATCTCTGCCTGTAGCAACTTCTGCACAAACTTTCCAAACCTAACATCATCAACGCTCAACCAAATCCCGCAACATCATCTTGCTGCTTCCGATCTCATCAGCAAACGCCCAGAGTATTTGGTAACGCCGACATCGCACAACTCCCTGGCATTACATGAGCACTCATTCCCCTTGCTCTACACTGTGATCCAAAGGAGAGTTACTCTGGGGTTTCTGAATATTTAGACTAACGCGAACTCTTGAAACGAAGGAAGAAAAGGATCCCCCCAATGCAAAATACAGAGCCGCAATGTTGCAGCTAATTCACTGCAGTAAACAGATGCTGAGCCCCCACAGGTATCTACAGAAGGTACTGTCGTTTGCAGATGACTGAGAACAGATGCACCCACAGACATGGTAGGACAAAGGGTCTGTAGGTCCCCCTTAGCAGCATCTGTATTCACCGCACAATAGACATGTGACACTGCAGCCCACACCTCCTCCACACACGCACGCAGCAGTTAAAGTAAATTCTTACAAGACTTGTATTAAACGGTAATTCCAGCCCCTTGTCTTCCCATCCCTAAGAGCCTGTACCTCCATGGCTGGGCACTGCCATGCTGTTAGCCAGCTGGTAGAGACGCTGCTGCTGCTGCTCTTCAAACGTGCTGTGTTCGTTCAGTGCTGACATCATGCGTCTGTAGTGCTCTTCTGGGGTCATCTGAGTCACCGAGTCCTCAAGCAGAGGTGTGTGGGAGTTTTCTGAAGAGCAGAAAGATTTGGGTTTTTTTCCCCCCCCCCAACAGAAAAATACTACAGGAAATTAGAGGTACATGGATGGGGCAAAAGAATCAGAAAAGAGATGGGGAGGGGAAGTTAGCACCATCTCCCACAACTATCTCATACGCACTGAACTTGATGCATCAAGCTGCCAAACCCAGCTATCTTCATGGTTTGAGATGTACCACTATATGAAGCGAATACACACCCACCACTCACTAAACCTCCAAACATGCAAACTATTTATACACAGAAGAGTGTACAGCCTCAGCTGCCACAGCACATACCAGAGCACACATACACACGCAAATTTTTCCTTGCATCTAGCACAGACATAGAGCCTACACAGACATATAGCCTTTAGCCTATGCAAAAAAACAAGAATTTGTGAACTTTTTTTTTTTTTTTTTAAGCCAAAGGCATCACATTATAATCACACAAATTTGCAAGCGAGCAAGCTCACTACCCCAAAGGGGGCAAAGCGGACAGGCAGGATGAAAGACAACTGAGTTCTCACCCTTCCACCTCAGGGGACGCAAGTTCTTTTTTCAACTAACACCTACTCCATGTTTCTGAACAGGGCTTGGAGGAGACAGCTAGAGACACAATAACGTGACCTATCACTAGAGAGATGTTCAAGCACCTACTTTCCACGAGGCTGAGAACTGCACGACAGCCCGTGATGACAGCCCACCTGACAGTCCACCTCTTGGAGGGAAGTCACAGAAGCAGACTGTTTCGGACCCGTATGCATGGCTACGCACCCTGGGGCCGTTACAATTGCGCCCAGCATCCCTTCCTCTCCATCCTCCTGGTGTGACGGCACGTGCAGGTCTGAGGCTCCCTGGGCAGCAAGGATCCCAATCTTACAACCAGGGAGGTAAAACCACAGCAGCTTTGCGTTTACCGTAAGCAGAACTCACAGCAATTACCGTTTCTCTGCCTTGGCAGTTGCTGCTCTAACGTTATTTTATCGTGCATCTTCCCCACGGGCAAAACCTTTTCATTACTCGCAGAGCAACTCCCAATAACTATCCAAACAGGCAGAAGGGGAGGGAGGCAGTGGCGAGGGCTCCCGCTACGCTGCGGTCACCAGACCACCTTACGGCACGCGCCCCAGATTCTTGCTCCTTAATCCACCTCGTTTCCCCGTCGGAGTCCTTCAGGCCCCACGGCAGGCGGCTGCGCTCCCAGGTTGCCTCCAAAGTCAAGGTGGCCGCCCTCAGCACAGGCCACTTATTTCACACCAGTGTCAGCACTGCTGTAACGAGCGTGCAGGTACTGGACAACCTGCTGGGAAAAGTGCTTTGGATCTCTCCGGGGAGAAAGGGTGCCCTAAGCCAGCTGAGAGCGAGCCCACAGCAAAATCAAGTGCTCTCCAAGAGACAGCGCTCACAAAACGTGGCTCTGCCACAGCAGCTTAGGGGCCGTCTCGCTTTTGCCCCAGCAGTTAGGTGCCGTCTGTCCTCTGACTCATGACAGCACTACAAATACGTGCTGTTCCCTCGTGCAGTAAAGAAACCATCTCCTCCCCAAAACATAAGAAGGGCCAAAAATCAACTGGAGCTGCACAAAGCTCCAAGAAAAAAAAAAAAAAAAAAAAGGTGGCGTTGCATCAGCAGCTCGCAAGGCGCTCTTCCCCCGCAAGAGGGAAATGACTTTGGTCCCCTCCAACTCCGGTCACCGCAGTGACATGCGTCTGGATCTTAGGGTGCACAGGCTTCGTGTGCAGTTCACAGCCTGCTTCAAGCCAGCAGGTGTCAGGAGCTGGACCCCCGCCCCGTACCGCGGGGTGCATCCCGCACAAACCTGACCCGGAAGAGGAAGGCTGGACAAGATACAGCCACGCTGTGTCCCCCCGCTGATACCCGGGCCTGCAGGCCACTGGGGAAGGGGAGTCAGCGTTCCCCTCCGCGTCCCCCTCCCGCCAGGTCACCCTGCGGACAACGTTTCCTACGTCCTTGCTCTCTCGGCTCCCCGCCCGCCCTCTCCCCCGGGACCGGGCCGCCTGCTCCAGTCCCCTTCTGACGAGCAAGGTCTACGAAAGCACGCCGCGTGCCACAGTCCCGACGTAGGAAAATCGACGAGGTTTTCTTCGCAGCCGGGTCATTAAGAGAGGAAAAAAAGCAGGGGGGAGGGGAAATAACACCGAATTACCATAACCTCTATCCGCTCAGCCTCGGAGCGGATTTGGGGTGCGAAGAGGGGGGAGACTGCGGGCAGCAAGGGTAGGCTCAGAGGAAGGAGGAGCCTGCAGAGAAAGGCTGGATTTCCACCCTTAAAACTTGAAGATTTCACATGACTCAGCCAGCGCTAATTCCAGCTCTGCTGCAGCTTTTCTGTCTGCTTTTGTCATTACCGGGGGGTAACGCGGGAGACCCGGGCCTCTACCTGCTCCCACCACGCTCACCAGCCTGGCCTTGGGGGGCAGCGAGGTGGTTGCCAACTTCAGTCTGAGCAAGAACGGGACTAAACACCGTTTCCTCATTTGGCCTGATGGGACAGCTGCCAAATCAAACAACGCGTGGATCCAGACGGGCCCCTGCTCCCAACAAAAACTGACCGACGCTGGATCTGAACTGCTCAGCTGCAGTCCAGCTCCAGCTCTGGTCTGCTTCACTAACCAAAGAGGCAGTAAGATTTTGGTTTTATTTTAAAGGATCTACAACAGCAGAGGAAAAAGAACGGTAGAAAGAGCAGCATATGAGGTCATCAGCCCACCCCAAGGGGCCAGCGCAACATTGTTCCCTACCCTGGATTTTCCAGCGCTTAGTCCAGCCTAGTTTTAAATCTTCCCAAGTGATGAGGCTTCTGCCAGATTTATTTTTCGGCCCTTCAAATAGGAACAAAAATATTCTTACGGATTTTCTCTTTTTGCACTCTTCAGTTTTATTCCATGTCTCGAGCTATCGGAGAAACAGATCTCCAGACATTGCTGTTGCCACGGGAGTGAGGGTTTTGCTCGGGGAATTGGCTCCCAGGGAGAAAGCTTCCTCCGTGACCTGCCAGCAGAGCCCTCGCTCCGCGCCTCCGATGCGCTCGCATTTCCATATTAGACGCGAGAACGTTCTGCTCTGTTTGACAGCAGCGCTGGCGCGGCCCGGTTTCCACCGAGATAGGGCTCTCTTTTGATCTCTGGTGTGCGCGCCGCCAGCGCTGGGGAGGGGGGAAGGGGAGGTTGCTGCTTCCCTGCTGGAAGGGCTTCCAGCCCTACAGGTGTTTTTTCACTCAGTCAGAGAGAGGGAGTGATTTACTTGGCTGCCTGTGTTCTCCTTGCCTTGTCAGGCGCAGCCACGGCAGTGCGAGATGTGCCGCGGGCGCGGGGGTCATTCCTCCTCTTCAAAAGGCCGTTTCGGAGACAATGCAGCTGTGCCCCGAGCGAGAGCTGCATCCAGGGCCAGCACGCGATGGAAAGAGGGAGATTCCCTGCCTTGGGCTGTACGCCGCTGTAGAAAAGCGCACCCACCGAGGCACAGCGGGAAAGGAGGGGGGCACCCTGGGGAGACCCCAGGGCACTGCGCGGACCTGCCTCCCACCAGAGCACGGCACGGGCCGGCAGAGGCTATCAAATTCCAACCAGTCCTCTTTCCCCTTTCCACTTCGAAATCCCAAACTGCACTCACAACATCTGGGCCCCAGCCAAGCGCAGGGCTCTAGCACCGGTTCATGCATTCACAGCGCTGCTCCACACCAGTGGTTCCCAAATTCCAGGCAGCTAATCAGTAGGGTCCCCGGGATGTTTGAAAATGGCTTGTCGAGCAACAGAGACCCTTCTGTTCCCAACCACCACCTTGCAGCACAGAGCTGGGAACACAGGGATCGTTTTCCGCCTGTCCCTCCACGCTACCAGCGCCACAGGAGCCGGCAGGATGAGACGTCTCCTAGGAGTTCTCAGCTGCAAGATGCTCTCAGCTGTTCAGGGCTTAAGGCACAGAAACACCAGCTCGAGCCCTGCCTTCTCCCATGGCGGGGGGGGGGTTGATAAAGGCCCCAAAAGCACACAAGATTCTGCCCCCATTCCCCTCCTTATTTCAGTGGTGGGCTGGCACCAGCAAAACCCAAGCTTCAGACGCCTGCCATGGTGTTGGAGAGAGCAGCCCCATGATTTAACGCAATTAAAAAAAAAAACGGGAAACATGGGGGTTATAAGAAGGTCCAGCTTAGAAATTCCATGCCACCTCACACTGCTTTAGAGGGTAGGGAAGGCTTCCTGAGAAAAAAGTGGGAGGAGAAAACAAAAGTTTGCTTTTATTCAGGGCTTCCCGGGAACCCCTCTCTGAAGGGCTCAGGAAACCCTGACTGAGTCTGTATACAGAGTCAAAGAGCAGGATTTAAATCCTGAGTGCACCGTGCAAAGCCAAGGGTTCTTATCTGCCTCTCTCTGCCTGCAACCCGCTCAAGTAAACAAAAACGGTGGGAAGGACAGGGGAAAGAAACAGAATGGGATTGCTTGACCCTGCTGCTCCGATGGCAAAAACACCAATTTGTGCAAGTTTGGGCCCTTCACTAGGCTGAATCCAAAAACAGCAGCTTGCTTTCAGACAGCTTGACTGAAGTTCCACCCATTCTCAGCCAGGCTACACAGAAGATGAATCCAGGTAATAGCGACCTAAGTATGGACTTTTATGGACCAGACGATCTTTAAAAAGTCCCTTCCAACCTCAACCGTTCTGTACGCGTTGTCTTGGAATTACCAAGGACAGAGACCAGCAGACGGCAGGTGCAGCAGCGACCGCGTTGCGGGAGTCCTGCGCTCCTAGATGACAAACACACTTCAGAATCCATACAAGCATCCCGCTGGAACATGCCTGCACATCTGCCAGAAACTTTGACAGCAACAGGAAGAGGGCAGATGAGTCATTCAAGGAAAACAGGTAAAGGGTAGTAGTATACAGGGTACCTCTTCACGCCTTTGAGAAAAGTCCAGTAAAACAAACAAGGTGTTCTTAATTGGAATAAAGAGTTAACAGGCACGAGAGGATTACGTGAAAGAAAAGATTTAGTACGTTCTTAGGTAGTGTTAGCAACATTATACAAAGTGACATTAATATTCAACATCCTCTCAGAGCGTGCTGCCTTTCAGATCATGATTTGGAGGCAAGGAATCAGGAATCGGCTATATAAAGGAAAATAACGTACAATTAAGATGCGATACAAGACCCTGCAATAAATCTTTACATATCATGATATGGGTACTTATTTGAAGAAAACTTCAGGACAAACTGCTGCATATAACTGCCCTTTGGGATTCCCTGGATTGGTTAATAGAGTACATACCTCGAGGAGTCTCAGCTGCTGGACTCCCACCCCATAAAAGAAGATCTAGCTCCAGGCAGCCAGCCTGCCCTTTTTTTTTTTGTTTGTTTGTTTGTTTTGTTTTGTGTGAGGACAAAAGAGCACAGGTTAGGCAACAGCGATCGAGGTGGACGCTATTGACAGCTAATTAGTTTGAACTTAACAACAAAGCCTCTAAGTGAACGGCCTGCAAAACCTCATTTGTGCAACCTCGGAGACAAACTCATTAACTGCAGGCTCCATTACCCACTCCACTTTGCCGGTCGTAAAGAAAGTTTTAAAATCATGTTTATAGGAAGGAACCATAAAACAAATCAGGAGACTAAAAAAGTCTCTACAAAAAGAGAAACCTTCTGCAGATTCCATCTCTATAGGAACAGTGCCATAAATGCATACAGAACAACTAGGCAGCCCTATTCTCCCTGCTAAGCTTCCCTTTTTTCCTTTTAAAGGAACAGATGCCAACACGATAAGCCTGTGTATATTTTTTTTATATTAAACATTTAATCAAGACATTCTGCCTGAAAAGTAGGAACACCCCTAAGGTCTGCCTCCAAAGCTGCAGCTTGCTTTTTAAATCATAAAATAATTATTCTAATTAAGAAGCAATTCCCTCCCCGCACTGCAAGCTTCTCTCCGATTAGATAAAGAAAGCACAGCGCGCGGGTAAGCCTTCCTCATGCACCCTCAGAGCCGGGTACTCACAGCTCCCGCACCACAGCCTCTTGCGACCCTCCCTTCGCTCCCTCCATAATTTCAATTAAGTTCCACTCTTAAGAACGGAGGAAAAGGGGAAGGGGATGAGGGAAGGAGAAGCAGCACTTACCTTTCGGGGACTCGCTTCGGGCTTTCTTGCTTTCTAAAGGACACTCACTGCTGCTGTTGGGAGAACATACTCTTCTCTTGCCTAAAATTTCATCTAGAAGAGAGATGAGAAACCTGAGTATCAGATAAGGCTGTACTTTCCTCTTTGCAGAATCAACCAGAGTGACTTAGGTATTTTGCTTCTCTCACTCACAAACACACACACACACACGTACGTTACAGGCAGAGAAAAAAAATGAAAGTAAGAAAAATCATCATCTTGAGAGCCTTGATCTGCTTTCCTAATCATGCAGTCCAAAAGCACATAATGACTATTCACACACTGATCAATGCAACGTTTTAAAGCTATAAATTCTGAATCCAGTTGATTTCCTTACTGAGTTTCATCATTTGTTCTGTTGCCTTTTGTCCCCCTGGTGTTTCCACTCCTTTCATGCCCTGATGCAAAGCAACTGGGGGAGAGAAAGGGGAGGAAAAAAACAACACACACACACAAAAAAAGCACAACACAGATCTATGAATCTTCCTACCACACACACACACACTCTCTCTCTCTCTCTCTCCCTCCCTCCCTCTCTCCTCTCGAAAACCTCAAGGTCCTTAGCAATCTTCCCTCTCTAAATTGTACGGAAACGCTCAAGCCTTTTGCATTAGTGGAGCCCTACAAACCAACACAAAATATCTAATATACAATTACAGCATCCCCAAACAGATTTAAAATCAATATCCTCCCATAATAATGCTGGGGAAACTGAAAGCATGATGTTGCATATGGGCAGGAAGGAAGAGGCTGTTTGTCATTGCAAGCATCAAATTCTCATCTATCAAGAGCTTGTTAAAAATGCAGCATCTTAAAAAAAAAAAAAGAAACACACTCACAAACAAGTACCATCTTTGAGCAAATATATGTTGCACCTGCCTGCGTGCCAACATGCATGCAAAGCTTCTGCAGTTTGCCCAACGTGTGTTAGTCAAGAAGGATTACAAAAGCTCTTGGTGCTACTTATTAGAGTAACAAAATTGTTTCTGTTCCAGGTGACATTTTAAGCCAAGCAACTGTCCTTCCTACTCAGAGTCACTCCACATTACTTCAAATTCAGCTAAGCAAGCCCAGGTTCCTGCCTTGGCATTGTATGCACCAAGAGATCCAGGATCCGGATCTGCAGCTGACACAGTCTGAGCGGTGCCGAGAACAGACAGCCGCGGTGCGGAGGCAGAGCCTGCCAGGCAACGCCTTTATGTAAAGAGCAATTCTGGAACTCTGCAAAGTTACAAGTGGCATTTCAAGGTTTTAAAGAGCACAAGCTGCCTCCGATCTTATCTTGCCATGACCCTGTCACCCAGGCTGTTAACAAAGCTAGCACTCAGAGACAACTGCAGGGGTTTGCAACCATCCATAAGCAAAAACCAAAGTAAATACAACAAAACAGTGGCAATTGGAAATCAGATGGGAAAGGGTGGAGTCAGTCAGTGATAGGACTTAAGCTTCCAAAGCACTTCACCTTCCAGGTGTTGAGTTAGCCTCTCAATGCAATTTCAGTTTTATCAACCCTCTTGCCTTAATTTACCCATTAAGTGACTTCTCCAAAGCCACAGGCAGTTATCAGCTTGCCAAGCCAGGATCAGAGCTAGGAAGTACCTGGCCACACAGCACAAAGAGCCACAAGCTGCCTCTCCATGGAGCTCTTCATTCTTCATGTTGATTTTCCTGGAAATGTTAGTCTTAGGCTGCAAACCCTCAGTGCTGGAGGCCAAGATCATATATCCTCCTCAGAAGCGTTCTCATCCGGGATTTGCGGTTTTGAAACAACAAAGTCCCATTGCTCTGCTTACCCCTCCCATCCCAGGCAGGAGACAGCAAAACCCATCAACGCTTGTTCTTATGTATTTCAGGCAGAAGAGACTCCACGGAGGAACTGGTGACAGAAGTACCAGTTATGTGTTAACATGAGTAGTAAAGATTATTTAATTTCACAACTCCACCAAGGCACCTCATTACCCTGCTATCGCTCTTTCTCTCCCGTTATTCCACTGCTACCTCCACAAGCCCATCTGCGAGCAGGCATTCACTCTGACTAGCGCCATGCCCTGCTATTCCAAGACGCGCCAGCAGGACAGGTTGCAAGGCCCATCTCGCTCCCCACCTGCTTGGTATGGAACACCAAGACTGAAGCAACATCAGCCCCATCAGACCCATGTCCCACCAGGGTCTCCAAAGCGCCAGCCTCTCCGCACACACACGACTGAGCTGCAAGCTGCACGAACACTGAGGTGTGCCAGTCTGCCATCCATACCACAGGGAAAGGTCTGAGCTGTTTTTCAGCCAAGATTTGAACCTGGCCCTCCAGAGACCTCTACATTAGCTTATTAACCTCTCGGGGGATCTGCAGCATCTTCCTTCCAGCATCTCACATTCACAGTGTACCAAAGCACCAAATCACACACACTTATTTGCATTAGTGGAGCCCTTCCGAGGTGGGGGGGGGAAGGTATTTGTGGTGCCCCCCAGCAGTTTTTACGGCAGTCAGGTCATGAAACGAAAAGTTTCCTCTCATCTTTGTTAAGGTAAAGTCTTGGGATGTGTCAGAGACTGCCCCTGCCCCTAGAAGTTTGGGGACTAAATTGACACAATAGACGTTAAGCAAGGAAAAAGGAGTAATTATCATCGGTAGCCCGAATCAAAGCCCAAAATTCAGAGTCAAGAGGAGAGCACAGGACTGAATATTAGTCTCTTGAATTCCAGCCCAGTGTGGAGAGTCAGTCCTTCCTCTTAGCGTCCCTAGCCGCAAAGCCGGGAAGAGACAGGTGCACAGTTTCATCAGGTACCTACCAAACTCTCAGATTCCAAGGTACAACCTAACTGGCCGTGTATTTGCATTACAGGACCAATCCTTTCCTTACCACAATTTAAACCACATGCAGAGTTTTGGCATGCTTACACCCAGTGAGCAAAGACCCTTTTATAGGGCCTTATACTCCAAATTAACCCCTCTATTCCCAAAGGCCGTTCACCAACCCATTCTTTGAACTCGCTCACAAAGAACCAGGACAGGGGCTGAAGGGGCAGGGATGGGAGCATCCACAGTCCTTCTCCCCCACGCTTCGCAGCAGAAGCGGCAAAACCAAAGATGTTTTGCAGATGAGTTGGCAGAGTAGCTTCTGGATGTCTTATCAACTTTACAGCGGCAGGTTGTGTATTGAGAGTATATTGCTAATCACAGACCAAGGAGCCAAACGATAGCTGTTTGCTCAGCCCACGCACCTATAAAAGGCAACACCCCACCTTCAGAGAGAAGCATGGGACGGGAGAAGATAGGTTGGTGGGGGCTGTTTGTTTTTCTTTTAATCCCTGCTTTTACCTCCTCTCTCCTGCCTTCTACAAGGCATTTCAATTCAAAGGAAGTCAAATCAGGGCAGGTTTTTAATATTGAATCTGAAAATGAAAGACATTATCAGTAGAACAGTAATGGTAGGAGGCGAGGCCACAGCAACAATGCAAGTAAGGAGAGCTAGTGCTAGAGGAAGCCTGAGCATACTGATCACTTTCTGCCACCAGTGCAACTCAGCCCTGGCCACACACACCCTCCACAGGGCTCCCACGGGCCACAGATACTGCATCACATCCAAGGATCCCGCTGGCCTGACGATGCAGTGCAGAGAGCAATCCAGAGAGCTTTTTGGAAATGAAGTCAAATATTTTCCCCGACGATGCAGAAGTCAAGATGAGAACTAGACTTTCTCTTCCTAGGGCAGAGGAGAATAAAACTCACCTGCTGCACTTCTACAGTGAAGCACAACCAGAAACAGGCCAGGAAAGTAGGTCAGCTGGAGGAGGACAGCACTTCTGCCCCCATAGAGAAGCATCACTGAAAGGCTTTGCAACCACCAAGGTGAATGAAAGTAGATATGACACCACAGAGCTAGCCTGGCTAGAAGGCAGGGCAGTATGGGTTTTGTCTGATCACAGCCCTCTTTGGACTTCAGACAAAATGATTACGGGCCACAGGTAGAATTATCACCTGGAAGCAACAGTGCTTTGCACTCCTGTACTGCCTCTAACCCTGGGTCTCCCAGCACTCGGCAGAGCTGGCTGACTTAACAGTCATGTTCACAAATATATCTAAGGATCCCAAGTCTTACTATCAGGTTTTGAAGAGGGGACTTGGAAGTCTAAGGCAGCCAGGACAATTAGAAAGCATATCTCTAGGTTTTCCCAAAGGGGGAGGGACTTTCTCTCCATTCTTTGGCGGGAATCTGCAGCAGAGAAGATGCACCAAGGACACCCATTGCATCAATCGCAGGGCGAGAACAGCCCATGACCCAGTGACTGACCACAGGGTTTCACCTGGAGAAGGGAAACTGATAACTATGAGGCAGTCACAAAAATTTTTCCCTCACAGTGTTGTTAAATGAACAGATTACAGGGCGAGTCCCAGTTCTGGCCAAGTGGTCTCTCTGACCACACTAAGCTCTTCTTAGCTCTTCTTAGCAGTGTTATGCTATAGACGCTAATAATGGGAAGAGATCAAGACCTATCTCACGCTCCCTATCCATATCATTGGTTTTGCTATGAAAGCCTCTTGGACCCAGAAGTCTAGAGTAAACACAAAATTGAGCCAAGTTATATGGGAAATCACCCAGGCTCTGATAGCCAACATCTAGCAAAGGAAAAAAGTCCTTTTTTCACCCTCTTCCACTTTATTTTAAGGAGAGGAAAACATCTTCCCTTGCTCTGAACTCCCCCACCAAACTTAAACCCTGGAGACAACAGTTCCCACTGACCAGTCTGAAGCGTCTTGGCAGCATCTCAGCTTATTCAGCTCTCCCCTTTCCTTTGGCACAAATAGGCTGCTGCTGGAAGAGCTGCTCTGCTCAAACAACCCTGGGGCTCCAGCCCTGCTGCTCAGTCTGTTTTCGAACCGAATGCGACAGGTTTGCAGGGACCCTAGAGACTTACTTCGCTAGTGATGGGCTTGTGCCTTTGCCCTGCTTTTAAGAAGCAGCACCAGCTTGCTGAGTCCCTGAAGGCCCAGGGCTGCTCACAACAAAGGTTGGCGTATGAGGGGCCACGCAGTGGCCGCATA